GAATGTAGTCTCAAACACACACATAAATATAGTTTCACACACACATACTTGAATGTAGTCTCACACACACATACATGAATGTAGTCTCACACACACATACATAAATGTAGTCTCACACACACATACATGAATGTAGTCTTACGAACACTGACACACTTACATAAACTAGCTAGCCCACCATGACAACTTTCTCCTTGACACATTTTCGTTCCCATGGCAATACATCTTTGGGTAGGTTCTTTTCCACAGCCTCGATCTTCTTACAAAAGTCTGTGAATAGCGGCATCTCATCGCACTTATTGTAAGCTTCAACATCGTTCATGCCATCAACTTCGATGATATGTTGTTTCCCGGAGGCCAACACGTGCTTTGTTTTCTTCTTTAGGGGAGGTTACTTTGCGGGTCGGGCATATAGAAGACTTGCGCGACACGTTCAGCGAGCACCCAAGGGTCATCCTGGTAGCCTACATTCTAGAGGTCGACGACTCTCTGTCCGATCTCATTGAATGGATGTTGCTTGATCCAGCGGCATTGAAACAGGGCCACCTTTATATCCCTTCCATAGTCAAGTTCCCATATATCTTCAATTATGTCAAAGTACAGGACCTTTCACCCCACTCCGTCGAGAGCCTCTATTCGGACGCCGCTGTTCTGATTCACAGATTTCCTGTCCTTTGTGTCGGTATAGTATGTGTACCCATTGATGTCATAAGCATTCCAAGACGTCACCTGTTTCGATGGCCCGGCGGCCAACCGACTGATGGTAATAGAATCTATGGTTTCTCCAGGCTGTATGTTCTAGTCCTTCAACCATGATGTCAGGCGTTGCTTATGCTGTTTCATGACCCAATCATCTGAACGGCCATTCCTCTCGGCCATAATGATAGCCATGTGTTCATCAATGTACGGTTGCATCACTGCCATACTCTGCAAGACACTATAATACGCCCGACTCACCTCTCTGTAATCATTGTCGAGGAACACTTTCCTACCACTTGTGCCCTTTCCAGCTAGCCTTCCCTTGTGATGAGAATCGGGATTACCAATCCCTCTCTGTACTTTTAGCCACTTTTGCCAGCACTCGATGACTTCTTTGGAATTGTAACCCTCTATCATGGAGCCCTCTGGGTGTGTTCGTTTATGCACGTATCGGCTTAGAACTGACATAAACCGCTCGTAGGACCACATTTCATGCAAGAAGCTAGGGCCCAGTGCCTCGATCTGATGAACCAGGTGAATCATGAGATGTACCATTATATCAAAAAAAGCGGGAGGTAAACACATCTCTAGCTGGTTCTGGGTCTCCACCATGAATTCATGTAGGTCAATCAGCTCTTGCCTGCGAATCGTCTTCTGTGAGATCTTCGAAAAGAAGTATCACATGCGGGTGATGGTCATCTTTAGGAACTCTGGCTTTATAGCCCTGATTGCAATTGGTAGGAACACTGTCAGCATCACATGACAATCGTGAGCCTTACAGTATGTTAATGATAGGTCCTTCATCGATACTAGCTTCTTTGGGTTCGCCGAAAACCCAGTCGGCACTCTGACCCCCTAAGGAAATTGCATATAGCTCTCCTCTCCTCTAGGGTTAGGTTGAAGCTAGCCGTGGGAAGACTGTACTTGCCATTATCCTGCTGTACCAGCCAAAGCTCCCGCATCACGTTTAGTTGCACCATGTCTTTCCATGATCTGAGACCATCCTTTGACTTGCCCGTGTCCATCAAGGTAGCCATGAGACTCTCAAAGACATTCTTCTGCACGTGCATCGCATCAATGGCATGGGGGACCTCCAAGTCTGGCCAATAAGGCAGGTACTGAAAGAAGATCGATTGCTTCTTGAATGGTACGCCTTCGATGGGAGGTGTGCTTCTATCTCTGATCGTTCCATCTGGATTTTTCTTTCTATAGATGACGTGTATGTTTTGGACCATTCTGAACACATGTTCTCCATTACGACGTCTCTCTGGAGGGGGTTCATCCTCCGAGATGTTGCCATAGTATCTTAGGTACAATTTGCCGCGGTACTTGTGACCTGTCTTTAAGAAGCGCCGGTTCCTTATGTAAACTATCTTCCTAGATCCATCTAGGAACACCCATTTAGTACCATCCAAACAGACTAAGCATCCAATCTTGCCTTTGAACTGTCCAGATAGGGCAAACAGCGCGGGGTAATCATTGGTAGTAACAAATATTATTGCTTTGCATATGAAGTCCTCCCGCCAGAACGCATCATACATCGGCTCCCCATACCTCCATAGCCTCTCCATTTCTTGCATCAGAGGCTCCAAGAACACGTCTATATCAATGCCTAGTTGTTTGGGGCTGGAGATAAGAATGGTGAGGAGAAGGTACTTCCTCTTCTGACACAAATATGTTGGGAGGTTGTACATGGTCAAGATGACTGGCCATGTGCTGTGGTCGGTCATCCTCTCATTGAAGGGATTCATTCCATCGGTGCTCAAGCCGAACCGTACATTCCATGGGTCATCACTAAATTCTGCTTTGTACTTGGCATCGAATGCTTGCCACTAGCTACAATCGGCCGGGTGTGCGATCGTATCATTATCCACCTTGTGCTCATCATCCCACCATGTCATCGGTGCGGCTTCCTTAGGGTTTAGGAACATACGCCTCAAGCGGTCGGTCACTAGCAAGTACCACATAACCAGGGCAAGAATTCTTCTCTTATTTGCATCGTTGCCTAATGGAGTTTCCTCTAGGGGCTGAGATTCTTGCACCACCTTCTTCCCACCCTTCTTCCTCTTTCCTATGGAGGCTTCCACCCCACTTTGAAGGTCATTGTTCTTGTATCGACTAGCCCCACACCTAGGGCATGTATCTAAAGTCTCGAACGATGTGCCACGCCGAAAAAGGATACAGTAGTTGGGGGCATGCATGGATTTTTTCAACCCCCAATGTGAGTGGACTTATAATCTTCTTCGCTTGGTATGTGTTGGTGGGAACTGTGTTGGGCCGTGGGAGCAACCATGACATGAGGCACAATAGATCATCGAAACTGCAGTCCGACCAGTCGTACTTAGCCTTCAGGATGAGTAGCTCAAGCACAAAACGTAGTAGTGTGAAGTATGTCGGACAGCCCTTCTTAGCATCATACACAGTCTTCTTCGATGCTTTTGTTACCCTCTCAAGATTTTCTAGACCTCTCTTGCTCTTTTCTAATATTTCTGGTCCAAAGGCCCCAAGCATTTCATCCAAGTTATCACCGTCATCTGCATCCCCCTCACATGCTTCGCCATCATTGCTAGCACCACCAGCATCATCACCACCTTGTTGATTGCCAAAGCCACGACCTTGTTGATTGCCAAAGCCACCACCTTGTTGATTGCCATAGTCACGATCCATTTGTTGCTCAAGATCGTTTGTGAATCGGGACAAGTATACTTGGGTTTCAGCTTCATCAGCTAGATCATCATCGCTATCATCAACAACCACTGTTTCACCATGATGAATCCACACTATGTAGTCTGGAACAAATCCTCTCCTAATCAGATGTTCTTTGATGGTACTCACATCTCGAAATGCAATAAGGTTCTTGCAATCTTTGCAGGAACAAATAATCGTGTCACTATTCTCTTTCAACGTTGCTGCATGTTTCTCTGTGGCTTTGATGAATTTGTCCACCTCATCACGGAAAAGAGCGTCGTGTCTTAACGAACCATACATCCAAGAGTTCCTGTAGTCCATCTTATAGAAACAAAACAACCAAAGAAAGAATATTACTCGAGAATAATTGTATATACCTGAGACACGCACCATGGTAGTAGAGGATAGTTAATTAATTGACTATTAATGCATAAATATTTTAAAATATAAATTAATTGGTTCAAATAAACAATTTCAAAGAAAACAATTAGCAACATTTAATATTTCATCCACTACCTTTCATGCAAACTCCATTCCAATTTCATGGTAGAGGATAATTAATTAATGGCCTATTTATCTATAACTAATTAAAAACACACATTATAGAAAGGAATCAAAATAAATATTAAATGATAATTAGTAGCCATGGTAGAGGATATTTTACACATTAGCAACAATTAAAATCTTACACATTCACCTACATGCAAACCCTAGTCACATAAAGAAAAAATTGAAAAAAACAAAATCCTAGATCTAGCTCTAGATATAGGGTTTCATGACACATGCATCAAACTTCACTAATATTACACTAAAATCAACAAAGATGTACTAAGGGTGCAATCTTACTTTCCTACCTAATTTACCCTAATATAGTGAAAATTAGGGTCCAATTTCACTCATAACTAGCTCAAGCTCCATGAAAGAGAGAGAAAACCAAAAATCAAATTACTCACTAACCAACGAATTAAACTTCAAATAAAGAGTTGGAGAAGCATTTCCTTACCTTTTAGAGCCTCTCCACCAAAGGATTTGAGATCAAAACCTCCCCCTCAGTAGAGCAATTTTTAGGAGGAGCCAAAGGCCTCCCAACCTTTTTTTAGAAGAGTGTGTCCCGAGGTGGAAGAAGGGGTGGCTGCTATTTATTCGTGCGCCGTCAGTAGGGCGGCTGGTGATTTAGCCGCCCCTACAGTCGAACAGCAGGGGCGGCTGGTGGCAGCCACCCCAATAAATAGGCACTACAGGGGCGGCTGGTGATTGAGCCGCCCCTACAGATCAGCCCCAACTGTAGGGGCGGCTCAGGTTACCAGCCGCCCTTACAGTGCCATCTGTAGGGGCGGCTGGGCTGCTGGGGCCCGAGGACGCCCACTGTAGGGGCGCCCCCAACCCCAGCCGCCCCTACAGTAAAAATGCCCCTGTTGCTACTATGTGAATCTAGCGTGAGCCTACAATACAGGGCTCTGTAAGTATTTATTTGTACGCATTGCAGATTTTTTTTACGATTACACAATATAGCTTAGACACAGCGCACGCAAACTCACCCCTATGAGTGCACGCACGCAAACCTTATCCCTATGAGCATCTTCGAAGACTAGACCATGGCATTGGGGATTGACCTAGAAACCTGACTCGATCAATGATCCCCTTTGTCCGGTGGGCCATGATATGGGGGTGTTTGGGAATTCACCCTTCGTGTTAAGGATGAATTCATGTGGCATCTGCGCAATTGCCACAGAAAGGCACCCACGGCACTCCCAAGGCTCCAGGTCAGCACTACACGACACCATTCCATAGATATTGGAGTATGCCGCGTCAAAACCAATGGCTCCAGACACGGACTTGTTCTGTAAGTCTGCGGTAGCAACGTAATCGGCCATGGCATTGAGGAGCTTGAAGGCGGATGTGCTGAACTGGTCGACTTCGTTGGAGGTGATGTTCTGACCGTTGTAGAGCAACACCTCCTGGTCCTGCAAGTTGGTGGTGGAGACGAGAAAATCTTGTTAGGAGAAGCCGAGGAGGCACGTGTCGTAGAAGATGGCCACACGCCTGTTGTATGGACACATCTTCTGCGCCTGCTCAAAGCTGGTCGCGATGCAGTCATGGCAGGTAGTGGCGCTCTGCCCGCCAATGAATTGCTTGATGGCGTAAACTGTATCGGGCGCCGTCCCGGTTGTGGCGATGGCGAAGAGGGTAGGCGACGTGGAGACGTTTGGTAGGGCTGCAGCGACCAGGCGAAGGTTGCTGCCATAGGTGCTGTTAGCGGTGTATGTCCCCACTACTACAGCGGAGGGATATAGTAACACCAACTTGTGTTACTGTATATTGGAAAAAGTGTTACTAGCTCACTTAGTAACATATTTTCTTTTGTGTTCCAATTGGCTATGTTACAATAGACTGGTTTATTGTAATACAACTACTTGTCTACAGGAACACTTGTCTAGTGTTACAATGATTTTTGTTGTAACACTTTTTTTTGCTCTAGTAACACTTAACAATATGGTAGAATGCATAGTGTGGAACACATTTATTTATCTATCGTAACATTTGCAGTGTTACAAGAATGTCTATTGTAACACTTTTTTTAGTTCTAGTAACACTTCCACATTATGGTAGAGCACAGTATATGAAACAAAGCAACACATGGTTTGTAACACTTTTTTATATCTATTGCAACATATTCGGATTATGAAACACATATTTATTTTTCCAATACATATGGCACAAGGATTATTATATAATCGCACAAATATGACACACTGTAAAATCACATAAACCACAAATTTCCATAATCATAGCATGATCCACATATTGTGGAATGATCTCAAACATAGTGCTTGTTTAGAACAAATCGTAGTATATGTACATAATGATATGGCTCAAGAGAGCAAACACACGTAGTCCATACTAGAAAGAAAAATTCAAGAACTAGCTATGATTCCTAAAGTCCACTGCTTCTTCCTGTGCGCATTGATGTAGGAATTCAACCATTAATCATTTGAACCTACAAAGAAAATTTAAGTTGTAACATTACAAATTAAGGCACATATATACATTGATGTAAAGTTAGGAAGGCTAGTTTTGAACATACAAACATCGAAGGCCAAGCAATTTGGACTCCTTTGGCATGAGCATCACCAATATTGTCGCACCCAAGCATAGGCCTCACTAATGGCTCATCTTTTGTTATAGGATGATTGATACGCACTTTGTAGAATTGACTTCCTATCTTAACTCCACCAACAAGGGCTTCTGGATTAGTGCTCAAGAGAGTTGCATATGCTACATTAGCCTTCTTAGGATATTTCGAAGTCATTAGTAGCACTGTGGACCCAACCTACATTAATTTGACATAATCTCTTAGTGACCAGCAACCCTTTAGTTGTACATCGTGATCATGCATTTAGAACAAGTGATATGTTCAACTACCTTCATTAGAGAAAGTCGTTTAGGTGTTTGGCGCCTGTAGCTTGTAGCCTTGTCATGAGCCACCTCCTGTGATGTCCCTTACACATGTCAAATGAAAGTACAAAATAATAAGACACAAAATCTACTATAATTATAGCAAAGTGTGGTTCATAGATACCTTTTGTTTCTTTGGTATTATTCTACTTGTGGCGGAACTCCTTTGACAAGAATCAAACTGAACGGAAGAGAAAGGCAATTGTATTTATACACTGTTATAGACATCTTAAATAACTAGCATTACAAGTCTAATATATTTTATTCAATGGTATATTGAAATAGTGTACCTCTGTTGGTGCAAAATCATTATGGAGGTGTCGTTCAAATATTGCCTGTGCTTCTGCTTCTTCTACTTCCTTGTCATTATTATCACTTTGGCACTGATTCCAATTCAAAATCGTTCAAATGATAATTAGTAGGTAAAATATTAACATGTACTAAACTAAGAGTATATTGTTGTTCTTAAATACAAGAAACCAGTTGATAACCTTTTCTCTAGATAAAAGTACATTGTCATCATCACTAAATTCAAACTCACATGTTTCTTTATTCTAGTAAATAGAAAAGACGGTAGCATTAGCTGTTATAAAAATCCTTTATGGATGCATAAGCATTAAATTCACAAGCAAGGGTGACTTTACCAATTCATCCCTATGTTTGAGGAATCCCTCATTCTGGTTGGGTGCACCACACTGGACTCTCTAAAATTTTGAAAGGATATTAAAGCCAAAATACTAGTTTAGGTGAAAACATGGAAAATAGTGCAAATACCTTTCTTTTAGAATTCAGTACTTGATTCTGAGAATTGTTGTGATCACTCCTAGCACAATTTCCCTAGAAAAGATATAAAGTTTGAATAACGCATTTCAATACAGAGTTACAAAATTAAGCTGTACATTCTTACCATTGTTGCTTCTTGGTTCTCATTGTGCCTCTGATTGTTTTTTAGTTCTTCGATAACTTTGTCTTGCATTCTAGAATGCTCTTTGAGTTGCCTTATTTCCTCCAACATGTGAACCTCTACATCAGATGATGAGCCATCTAGTGAAACTATATTAATGTCCTTAAAATGGTGTGTTTTTCGACCATAAACTTGTTTAGGAACCGGAAGCAATCCCATGCCGTGCACTTGTCCAGCTTTTTCTTCTCCCAACACCTGATGTAATGCATCACCTTCCCATGCAACTCCGCCCTCACTATTTTGTGCTAACTCTGGTTGTGTGTCTAGGAGATTTTCCAATTGAACCTACAACAATGAAATCCAGACATCAGAAAATAGAAATAATTATATATTACAAAAAAGTTCCCATGTGCATGTAGCATACCACTGGCTCATTTATCCCTTTTCCCCTTTTCCTGTGAGTGGCTAGATAAGCCTTTGCTCTATGTGGCTATTTTTTTTCAGGATCAGCTTGCCTCTGCAAAAATAGTAGTAAAGGAAAAGCAAGAAGAATCATATATAATTTTTTTTACGAGAAGATGTACTCACCATGTCCTCAGACCAACGAGCATAACTCTTTGTACCTGTTGTATGAGTTGTCTTCCTCATTTCACGACTTATTTTGTTCTTTTCACTAAGGGTCTACAAGAATAGTAAATTATTAAATAATGAACCATTATACATGTAGAAATCAACAATAGTAGACGATGATAGTAAAAAATACCAAACAGTGTAAATAGTGGTGCCTTACTTTTCCTTCTTCGGACTTCCAGTATCCTACTAGGGCCTTCCATTCAGCTTTAACAATATCATCTGGACAACGCTTGTTCAAAACAGACCTTTTCTTCTTTGGATTAAATAGTGTCTTTTTTAATGTTGCCTTGTATTTTCTCCAATCTCTTCCAATTGATTTGAATATCCATTTCTCACATGAATGAGGATACAAGAACTTTGTCTAAAATAAGAAAGTCACTAAAGAATGAATTTGACTTCATGACATGATAACAATCATATCTTTTAAACAATGAAATCTGCACCAAACACTCTTGCCTATCATCTGGCCACGTGGGCTCACAATATTATATGAGCTAAACGCTACTGCACTCAACACTTAAGATGTAATTCACTTCACAAATTCAATTACACTTGAATAAAAAGACCAAATCATCATCCCAAATAACCTCTCATCTATTCAAGATATATCAGGTTTATTTTCGAACTGAAACAAAAACAAAGATGGCTAGAGACAAACTGATGTAGGTGCTAAGAGCGAAGAAAGAGCTAACCTGTACAAATTGAATGATGGTTTTGTCCATAGTCTTTCTTAATGTTTCTCCAATCTTTGGCACCAACCGGACAGTAACCACCATTTCTTGCTATGGTGCCCAAAAATTGGCCTAAAAGGCCACCTTCTTTTCCAATGGGCTGTCCAAGCTTATTACATCTTACTACTATCCTATCTCCGTCAAGTAGATCCCAAACATGTGTTAAAACAGTCCCCTTTCGCTTTTTAGGTTCTTTGTCGCCATCAGCTATTAAAAATAGAATGACAGTGATAGTAACTAGTTAAGATACAGTCCATATGAATGAGATTGATCTAACTACATTTGTACCTGATGTGTTCTGGTTCTCATCATCGCGCTGCTCAACCTCGTTAGCATATAGTGCTTCAGTATGCATTAAATTTAATGCTTTCTTTTTCTTTGTACCTCCTCTTCCTGCTAAACAAATTTTGAATAGGCTAATCTTGGATGAAAATAAATCATTGATAACTACCATGATATGGAATAGTTAAGTTGTACTTGAATAATCAGATATACATACAGAAGAGTAAAATTATATGTTCATTCTAATACCTTTAGTTTTTTTTGGTTTAGATTTGGATGGTTCTTTGTTGGACTTGGTAGGCGCTAAAGTGGCCAGTCTGTCCTTTGTCACAAACAAGCTAACCATCTTTTTGCTCTCACACTCGTTAAGCATTTTCATCACTTCAGGATCTTGTTCTAGTACAACCAAGCTATCTTTTCGCTTGTAGTATAGATAGTCAACTGATGAGTATCCATGATCCTTGATCAAATCAATCAGGTTCCAGTAGCATATCACATCTCTGTCCATTTCCGTTTTCACATGTCTCTCTCCTTCAGGTGCCCCATCACATTCAAGATTTATGGTCCAATTATCCACCGCCATGGTTGCACAATCTAAATAAAATATAGTACCAATAGAAAATTAAGAATAAAGATAACAGAAGAGTAACAATTAGATTAAAGTGCATATATGTAATGTTATTTGAACTTGGAGCTTGAGAACAAGTGAAGTGCTATGGTTCAGATAGAATGGTCAAAAGGATGGCATATTAGCTTTATATATAATACTTGTGTTTTTGCTCAGGTATGTAAAGATTTGATGCCACTAGGCAATAGAATTTTGAAACCTTATATCAGCACATAGCAATATCAGATTGCTAAATTTCCAACCATTGCAAAATATGACAATTAATCTTTGCAGGCACCAACAACTAATTTTACATGCAGGAAAACAGAACTAGCCAAAATTTTTAATCTTTGCAGGCACCAACAAAATATTTTTACATGAAGAGAAATAAATTAGACCCTGCACACATATCAAGATGTAAGAAAGAACAATCTTTTTATTCATCTACAGGTCTAGACCAGACATGCAAGATTTTTTTTGAGTTGTAAAATAGACATCCTCAGTCAAAATAAATTGTCATAATGATCAATCAGTTCACAACCTATATGAGGCAAATACCACTTGTGAGGTTGAGGAAAACAGAGCAGAACTACATACAACTGCAGACTTTTGTCACCCAGCGTATCTGGCATATTCAAGTCATTGCCTTCAGTACTACTACCCCAACTTGACTCTAGTAGTTAAAATCTTGTGAAAAGTGATTCTGAAATATCTTTTGTGTGAAAAGCGGTGCATTTAAGTATTCTGAAGGTGGAGGCACAACTTTAGTTTCTAGTTTTACAGAACCAAAATGATTGATCTGTGCAGACTAAATTTACAAGGGCAGGGACAGAGCGGCTGCGACGAACTTTGCCGGCGGGTTCAAGGTGGCCGGGAACTGCTTGGGCTCGGACACGCAAGCAGCTGCGTGGAAGCATGCGCGAGCGCGGCACCGGAGGGCGGTGGCTGACGGTGAAGCTGCTGCGTGGCAGCTGCTTGCTGCTGCTACTGTTCTCAACTGAAACAGCCCTCTTCCTCTCTCTCTTTCTCCTGATTTCGCAAAACAGCAAGATGATCGGCCTTAAGAAAAGTTGGTCATCTACAAGAGCTCACCATCTTTGCTTAAGGGACCATCATCAAAAGATCACTGGTTTTAAAGATTTTGAATTCAGAAGATGGGCACTGTGAAACTGTAACTGAAACCACATTCAGAGTTGTGGAAAACTGATTTTACTTATCAAACCTTGCCAATTAACTAATGGATAACCATTTGTCAAACATCGCAACCAACTAGAATTATCATATCTGAAGCAATCTACCAAACAATGGAACAAAAATTTGGACAAATTTTATTCCTATACTTCTAGTGTATACTACCTATAGGATGAGGCCCAAGGGATTTGTATGCCAAGGGCAATGATCATGGAGCGATAAAGGCAGTAGGAGACTAGGACATCGGCATCGGGTACCTCGGCGCACAGGTTTCCGTTCATTGACCGCCCTCTTGTGAAGAGGGCCGATGATTTGGGAATTGTGGGAGCGGACGAGGAGTTGAAGAGAAGCATACCTGGCGATCTGGGCTGGACGGGCGAACTGATCCGGCCGCCACGAGCATGGATCAGCTGCCGGCGGTCGGTCCTCTGCTTGACCGAGATTCTCTTTCTGATGGGGTCGGGGAACTCGACGACGCGCTCGCTCGGCCGGCAATTGGCCGCTTTCCTCCGTCCGAGCCCGTTCGCCACCGCCGACCCTTGGAGCTGCGGTCAGATTACTCTCAGTTCAGGAAATGAGGAGGGAGTTGGAGTTTTTCAGCTAGATTCAATTATTCGATCTGGTGAGTCACCGAGAGGGGCATCTGTTTGGCGGCAGATGTATTGTTCGGAGGGAAAATTTTGTGGGAAATACTTTGTCTATTTTTTTTGGAGGGAAACTAATGTTCCATGTCTCTTGATTCTAGATTGGTTTTGTGATAATATTAATAATGACACGTATATTAGTTTTGTGATAATATTAATAATATGTACCAAATTAGTGTATTTTAAACTAATGTCTAATAATAATTTTAATTTTTACATTAACACATAAATGAATTTTTATATAACTAACGGCACCAAATTAATGTGACCAATTATATTACTATTATTAATATGATAAATATTAATGAAAAATAGTTTCTTGAAACGAGTATTATTAACTACCACTACACTTTCACTTATGGCTATAGAGCATATGGTTTCATCCAGGATAATGCCGACGCGTGCAGGTGAAAGTTGCTCGGTCTGCACACCTTTCCCCCTCGTCATCTCCTCCTCACGTCTTCCCCCACCACTGGCGCCATGTCGTTCCCCTTCCACCTTCTCGCCCCGTTCGGCTCCATACATTCTGCACACCTTCTGTCTCGTCTTCTCCTCCTCGCGTCTTCCCCGCCACTGGCGCCACATCGTTCTCCGTCCACCTCCTCACCTCGTCCGACTCCATATTTTTTTTGAGATCTCAACTCTTCATGTGCAAGTTGTAGTATCCGGGACTCACGCACCAACTCACACCACAACAAACGCACACACACACACTCACAAACACACCTAGTGCGCAAATTAGATCTACACCTATACGAAGAGACTGGACGTGGCTAAGAGGTATATGAAGTTGTCACCTTGTCTTCGAACGTGACGAGCACGTCACCCTGACGACGAATGTGGCATATCCACGTCTAAGGTAGCTAAGCTAGGACCAACCACGGGCTCTTGCCATCCAAGCTATGCTCGGTTCTCTCCAGCTCTATATCTAGTGCCCCTAAGCTCACCCTCGTCTCCACCACCTCCGACCGCTGGTGACGACCACCTTCTTCCCCTTCCCCCTCTCTTGATGCGGCCATGGCAAACTAAGGCGACCTCCTCAACAAAATCCTATGCGGTGACAATGCTTCTTCTCCGTGGCAATGCAGTGCTTCTTCTTCTCCTGGGCGGCGGTGTTTCTTGTCCGGTGGCACCAAATAATCGGCGGCCAAGGAAAGCAGCAATGAGCATCGCGCGATGGATCGGGGTGGCATTGCAGCTGGCGAATTTGTACGCGCTTGGACGCTAGCATTTCCCAAAATCTTGAGTTCCATATTTGACATCCGAAAGTTCTCAAATAATGGGATCAGATGAAAACAAAGTTTGGAATAAAAAGCTATAAATTTTAAAATTTGAGGGATTTAAAATAAAATTTCAATATGTATTTTTCAGAAATAATTATGCACTTAAAACATTTTTCCTGATAAATCGAGATAACCGGTTGTTTTGGGCTTTCAAAACAACCGGATTCTCGGCCATCGGATCTGTACTAGCTGCCATCTGAGGCGTAGTTTGCTTCCCATTCCCTCGGGCTTTGTCGCAGAACGGCCGCCGCCGCCGCCCAAGTCCAGGCCGGTTTGCTCCGCTCGTCGTCGCATAGGTCCCAGGCCGCCACCGCCCAGGCGCAGGCTTCTCCCCACTCCCTCCTTCGTCGTAGCTCCCAGGACGCCGCCGCCCAGGCCTAGGTGCGGGTGCGGCCATCCACGGTCGTCGTCCCCGGCGCGGACGCCGTCGTTCCCTGCCGGCGTCCCGGTGCAGGTGGGGGCGCGGCTGTCCCTGGCCGCGTCCACGGCGCGGTGGCCGTCCACGGTGCGGAAGTTACCGTCCCCCGACGGTGTCCCCGGCGGTCGTTCCTGGCGCGGACGCAGGTCGGGCCCCTCCTGTCCACCATTTTTTTTGTTTGAAAATTGTCAAGAATATGAAGAATCTGTGGAATATAATAGCCTACTTAAAAGCGAATGCAAGAGGTAGTAAAGATACAGTTACTGTAGCCTATCGTGTCTGCTCACTATTAGGTAGATATGGTGGAAGAGCTTCTTTCTGAATGCAAATCATGTATTTTCAGTGTACAAAGATTTAAAAAGTGGTCAATGCACATCTCTCGGCAGATGAACTTCTTACTGACAGGTGTGTTAGTAGTTGCTAGAATTAGCATGCTAAAATATTAATTGGACTGAAACAGGCCATAGAGATCAGAAACAAAAAACAACATTAGAGAAAAAGAATCACATATATCTTGGTCTTCATAGCTCCAAAGAAAACACATAAAAGAACTAATTTGGCCAAACACTAAGCCACTCAAGTCTCAAACTTTAGATACAAACTCAGATTATCCAGCTGACCAGAAATAGCAAGCAATCAAAATAGGATGAATTCCATGTTCAAAAGTGAATAATGGCTCACTGAATTATTGGGGTGGTCTAGCAGAGCTTTCAACAGGCAGTAGGTACCCAGAGCTCTGTTTTATTGGAGATCAGCAGCCAAAGCTAGCAGCTGCACAATTGTAGCTACTCACTGTTTGTTCAGTGATCTGTACAGGCTGCCATATATCCAACATCCTTTGTTTTTTGTGGAATTATCCAATTTTCTTATTGCCCTAGGCATACATCATGAGGCAATAATTAGCAGGCTGTACACTTCCTCATTTATCATCAAAGGAAAAAGAAGCAAAAGTTCATGGATTTTTTTACAATTAATTTCAGCATTGTCCATCAGCACACAGCACCTTGACTACAGCTCCTTCAGGCAACACTATACTACTTCATATAGGATTCATTATAGTATCATGGAAAACATAGGTGAATTGTTTTAAAAGAAATCATAGCTGAATGCATATAGTGATGCATCCTGCAACTCTGAGCCATATATTTTCATACTGACAACTAGAGCACATTTTATTTCAGTGAACCAAATCCAGAGGTCCAAGTCCAGAGAACCAAATTTGTAGAAACTATTACGAACATTTTGCAAGAGCATTGCCAAGTGAGTGAAATCTGAAGTCTTTCCTGTACATGCTATATTGGCAAAGTATTCTGATTCATTGTAATTCTACTCCCAAACTTTTTTCTTTTAGCAGTCCTCTGAAGAAATAGTCAAATTGTTTCATCATCACAGTGGTTATATTTCGAGGAGGCTATTAGAATCATAGCAAACAGTCCCATC